GGCTCGTCCGCCCGCCCTCCCGCCGCGCAGCCATGAGGTGAGCCCCTCTCCGCCCGCGGACTCGTCCCCGTCCCGCCTTTGTCCCCCTCCCCCCTCGCTCCGGGCTGGAATTTGGGGACCCGGCTTGGATGCGGGCTCTGCTTTGGGCTGAACTCCCTTGGACGAACTGTTAACGAGCGACCGCTTGCCGGTGACTCTCAGAGCTCTGGGCGGTGCCGGTGAGGTTTTCCTGAGAGACCTCGGATTTAGGGGCGCTCTGAGGACTCTCGAATTTTGAAGACTTTTTCAGAAGACGTCCAAGTTGGCAGATATTCCCCACGGGGATGCTGGGATCTCAGCAGGATCTAGACTTTCCCGAAACTCAAGTCGAGGTCCTGGAAGACATGGGAGGGGGAGGGGGCTTGGGCGATCCCGGGACGCCGAGGCGACGCTGGGACACAGAACGTGATTGGCAGGGCCCCCGTTTCTTTGCCTCTGGAGATTTGCCCCGAGTGAGACCGCGCTCCTTAACTTCTGGGGTACTTCTCGGTCCCTTGCATTTTGGGGTCACCTGGAACCCAACGGTTGAGGTTGTTGCGGACAGACCCACAGATCCGGGGTCTGGTTGGGACTCCTCTTCCTTGTCGCTCCACACTCAGGATCTGCCTAACCCTGCCTAGGACAGAGCGAGCGCCTGCTGCGGAGGGCGGCTCCCCGGCCCCGAGCCAGAGGAGCGGCCGCACCCCCCCACCTGCCGGCCCGAGGAGGGAGGGGGCGCGGCAGCTGGGGGTGGGGGCCTTTGTCTTCCTGACTCACCTGTCGAGACAGCTGGTGTGGGGGGCGGGCCAGGAGCTCCGCGGGTGCCACGACCGCCCCTCCCCCCAGTTCCCCCGGCCTTCCAGAGCCCTGGGATTGGAGGAGGGGGCACTGGAGAGCTTCAAGGTCATGGCTTTCTCCCCCGGGACCCAAGCTCACTAGACAGTCCCTGCTATCTTCCCAGAAATTTAATCCTGGGGATGAGGCGCCCAAGGGACCCGGAGATTTTTGTCTTAACCGGGCCTCCTCCAAACTCCTGGGCTCACCTGGGGGCAGGGCCAGTGCTGGGTGGACCCCCAACCCCAGTCTCCCCTCCCCTGACCCCCTATAATCGCTCCCTTGGGTCTGGAGTCTGACAATACTATCTCCCTTCCTCCACTCTCCCTGGGACTTCCTGCCCCCAAGCCCCGGCCTGAGGAGGAGGCCCCTGGGGACCGCTGGTATTAACCCCCTGGTGCTCACATCCTCTGCTTCACCCCACATACCCCAAACTCCTGCCCTTTGACATCAGATTGACCTTTTTAGGGATCAGGGAGGTTGTGGTGTGACAGGAATTGTTGGAAGATCTGGAGCAAGGGGACACCGCAGGCTCCCTCAAGACTTCCTGCCCACCCTTTCCCCAGGAGTGACGTCCCCGTCCCTGAGCGGGGACAGTTTGCAGGAGCCTAGTCCTCATCCTTCTCCCTCTTCCTAGGGGACTCCTCTCTCCCACCGCCCCCCAGCCCCACCCCGCCCCCTCCCGTTTCCGGTCCCAAGCCCAGTGGAAGGCGGATGGCGGATGTCCGAGTTAGTGCTGCCTCACTCCTGCGAGACCGTAAAAGGGCAGGAGCAGTGTCTGGGCCAGCCTCCTGCCCCCACCCCCAGCCGGCGGCCCGGCCCTCCGCAGGGCCCCCTCTTTTGGCCAGGCCAAGCCTCTACTCCTGGAGGGGATGCCTGTCCCAACAGAGCCAGAGGGTTACTCCTACCCTCCTGAAGGCTGGTGTTCCTTGGTAGTGGTCACGGTGGTCACACGGAAGTTTCTGGTCGGGAGCCTTTTCAGAGGATAGCTGTACTTAAAATGACCCCTGCTCCTATATTCCCAGTTGGGGAAACTAAGGTTCAAAGAGAAGAAAGCCTGGGGCAAGATCTCTAAAAAATTCTTAGGCAGCTTTAGAAGAGGGGGGAAGTTGGGATTGCCTGTTTCTGGCCAGTTTGGCTGAGACGGTCCTGGGGGCCGCTGGAAGAGAGGATGTTAGATGGAAAATTACAAGATATATAGTTCTTTTTCTCCCAGTTTGACAAATATTTGTTGAGTGTCTACTATGTCCAGAGCTAGGCTTCTGGGAAGGCATGGAAGAGGGGCAGAGGTCAGACACTCAAAGGCAGAGAAGACTTCAGAAGAATTTGGGACCTTTTTATTTCTTCCTTCTGACAGTAGTAGTAGAAATTCTTGTTCTTATCTTTTCTTTGAGAAAGATAAGACCATGAGGTCAGATATCTATTTTGTCCCATACACCGTGCTAGGTTTCTGAGTTAGGTGAATCCCCACAACAGTTCTAAGATCTGTACTATTACTGTGTTGTGTCCATACTACTACAGATGGAGAAACTGAGGCACAGAGAAGCTAAGCAAATTGTCTATTAAAGTCAAACAGTTTGAAGGTGTCCAAGCTTGAATTTGAATCTGGGATTATCTCCAACTATTATGCTATTGAAGAAAAAGAAAACCTTTAAGCTTTTTGTTTTTGTTTTTAAGTACAAGTAACTTGTTTTTATCAGGGGAGGAGGAGGCCTTGAGGTAACTTAGGTAAGCAAAAAGAGACCCAAGCTAGAGCTTTATAACTTCTTTTTTTTGTTTGTTTTTTTTGTTTGTTTGTTTTTTGTTTTTTTTTTTTGTTGTTTTGAGACGAGGTCTCACTATGTAGTTGAGACTGCCCTGGAACTCACTGTGTAGCCTACGCAGGTCTTGAACTCACAGCGATCCTCCTGCCTCAGCCTCCCGAGTGCTGGGATTACAGGCATGCACCACCACGCCCAGCGCTTTTTAACTTCTTGTTCATTTATGGGACACTGAGGCCCACCTGGAAGAAGGGACTTCAGGGAGACCACACAAGTTCCACAAACTGAACTAGTTCCCTACCCAGGGTTAATTCAAAGATTTATAATTTAGGATTGTGTGTGTGTGTGTGTGTGTGTGTGTGTGTGTGTTGCAAGTTTTATGGTGTGAGGAGGCTACAGGGTACGTCTTGGGGCGTGCTTAGTGAAGGAAAGGGCAACATTCTGGTGTGGAGGTTTATATAACCTGGGCTCTCTGTGCTTGGTTAACCCCAGTGCTGGGAAGCTTCCTCCCTTCAGTTTTGACTCTCAGCTCTCACATGTAAAATAAATGCCAGTTTCCAGCTCCTGAGTTTATGGCTTTGTATCCATGACCTCTTTTTCATCCTTACAACAAACCCAGTTTCCAGGGCTGAAAATTGAGGCTCAGAAAGATGAAGCCACACACACAGCAAGGAGGGGACTTGATGGAGAAGGGGTCCCTTGTGGGCTGGGATATTAGCTGGGCTGTGAGGCCCCGGGAAACCACAGGAACTGGTCTCACCTCCACACATGCTTCCTGGCTGTGGGATTTTCTCCATGTTCCTGCTTTTGCCTAGTTCATAGTTTTTTTTGGTTTTGGTTTTGGTGTTTTTTTGTTTTTTTTTGTTTTTGTACTGGGGATCGAACTCAGGTCCCTGCACTTGCAAGACATGCGGTGGAACCACTGAGCTAAATCCCTGGCCCTATAGTTTTATTTTTTTAATCTAATTAGTGACTTAGATTTTATAGGTAATTCCAGCCCATGATAAACAATAAAAAGATAAGCAATGACCATAGTGGAAAAGACTAAAGGGTGTGAAATGTCTGTTTCCTCCCGCCCGGGCCCCCAGCTCCCCACTCGTCCTCGGGGGCCCTGCAGTTGGTCTCCTGAGAAATGACTGGGTGTACTACCAAGCACGCACGTTTATTTATATCCTCCTCACCTTTTTTTTTTTAAACCTCTGAGCCACACCACTTTGTAACTTGCCTTTAAATTTCAATTTAGCTGTTTTCTCAGTTTTTAATGGGGTTAGGAGCTTGGGAGGACTTGGGTTCAAACATGAGCCTCTCTGCTTACTTGCTTGCTGTGTGACCTTGGCACCACTCTGCCTGTTTTCCGCATCTGTCAAAAGGGTAAGAATCAGAGTCTATCTCAGGAGGCTGGAGAGCCACGCGGGGTGGAAATTGGAGCACAGCGCGTGAACAGTGTCAGCTGTCATCAAGAGTTTGTGCATTTTATAGATGTGTTTATTAGGCCAGGGATTTAGTTCAGCGGCACCACACCTGCCTCACAAGCGCAGGGTCCTAATGTTTGATCCCCGGTACAAAAAAAAAAAAAAAAAAAAAGTGTTGTTTTTTTTTTTGATCCCTTGCGAATACTCTGAAGGGCTTTTTTTTTTTTTTTTTTTTGGTGCCAGGGATCGAACTCAGGTCCTTGTGATTGTGAGGCAGGTGGCAGAACCACTGAGCTAAATCCCTGGCCCAAAAATGTGTTTATTAAATAACCATTAAGTACCTACTAAAGTGCTGGGCACTATTCTGGGTTCAGGGGACACAGCAGTGAACAACGAGACACAGTCCCTGCCCTGTGGGTCTGATTTGTTCTGGGGAAGACAAATAGAGATTGTCAGGCGGAGGTCAGGGATGAGGGGACCAGAGCATTCCTGCACAGGTAGTCAGGGAGGGCTTCTCAGAGGGGTGACGTCCTCCAGGTGGAGGCCTAAGGAGGTCAGAATCAGGCTTGAGAGAGAGAGTTCGCTTTTGTCCTGCAGGATCCTGGGCTTCTGAGCAGAGGAGGCAGCGCCCACACCCTGTTTTCACAGGACCCTTCTGCTACACAGCCTGGGCAAGGGCAGGAACAGCCCCGGATCACTCATCGGGCCAGGGCCGGCAAAGGGCAGGGCCACCTGGGAGGACAAAGTGCAGCCTGGCCGGGCAGTGACAGTCCTGGGCTTCTGTCCAGAGTCTGGGTGTGGGCGGCAGGTGTGGGTGAGGTCCTGGCCCTGTGTGCCAGGGGCACAGGAGCCAGAAACAGCCCCTGAGGCTGTGCTTGTCTGGAAATGGCACCTGGTGTTTGGGTAGGGCCCACACAGTCCCTGTGGTTAGGACTGTGGACTTGGGAACCAGGCAGCCTGGATTCAAATCCTTCCTCTGCCACCCAGCAGCTGACGGTGGACAAGTCTCTCAGCATCTCTGGGCCTCTGTTGCAGTCCCCACTTGCAAAAGGAGCTTAAAAAGGTCCATCTTGAAGAGTTGAACAAAGTGAGTGGGTCCAGGCAGGGGTCAGGGTCTCTGCCCAGCTACCGTAGATGAGGAGAACCAGATGCCACAGCTACACCAAGGTGGGGGGCAGGCTTGGGCCCAGGGGGCACCGGCACCCACGGCTGGGCCTTCCGAGGGGCTTTCCCCCACCCCGACTCACAGCCCACTGGAGACAAAGTCACTCGTGTGAAATTTCTCTCCCCGGAAACCTCTGACCCCCAACTTCTTCTTTTCAGGAAAAGCCCAGTGGGGGTGGGGCAGGGCAGAGACCAGTGCTTCCCCCACTTCCCCTGTCGGTGTGTGACCTTGGCCAAGTCACTTCCCGTCTGGGAGCCCAGTTTCCTCATCGGGGAGGGGGTAGAGCCTCCTGAAGGAGGGGGGCGGAGTCTTCTGGGAGAAGCTGTCCCTGCCCGCCCAACGGAACCTGCTCAGACTGCTGTGACTGAGTGTTCATGGTGCCAGGCGCTGTGCCAAGCGAGGTGCCCAGGTTCATTTACTCCCGCCCACTTCCTTGGGAGGTGGGCACCATCATTCCCTGTTTGCAGGCAAGGAAGATGAGAAGTGAGCAAGAGAGTCACTTGCCTGGGTCACGTGGGGGAGGTGGGGTGCCAGGGATTTGAACCCAGGCCCAAGACGTCAGATCCCAGCTCTGAGCTGACCCCTTGCCCGACTCACCCGACTCCCCACCTCCCATAGAGGGCTGTAAGGGAGGGTAGTAGATAGTAGGTAGATCCCAGGACCAGGACGGTAGAACTGAGGCTGGCTGGCTGGGGCTGTCCAGGGCCTGGAGTTTCTGACAGGTGGCCGTGGCTGTTGGTGCCCTGGGAGCTGATGGACAGGGCAGCCAGCAGGGTGCACTTGGGGCAGAGCAGGGTCTGGTTGGGGCCTCCGCGAGCAGCAGACTTCACCCTGCTCTGCTCTGAACCTCAGCTTCCCCTCTGGGGGGCAGTGTCGGGTGTGCTGGGGTGGCTGTCAGGGTCTCTGGTCCCTGGGGCCACTCGAGGCTCAGCCTCCAGGCCGAAGCCCTCACCAACCGCCCTTCCCAGTCTGTCTGCCCGTCTCTCTTCCACTTATCTTTCTCCATCTGCCTGCGTCTCCATCTTCATATCTCTCTGTCTCTTGTGTGCTCTCTGCCCGATCCACCTTCCCCACCACTCCCCCGTCTGTCTCTGTGTGTCTGCCCCCCTCGTGTGTCCATCCATCCATTGTTCCGTCTCCCCTCACCTGTCCCTCCTCTGTCACTTTGCCATCTGTCACACCCCCCTGCCGCTCTCTCCCTGCAGCCCTCTGCTGATCTGTCTTCCTCTGGCTCCCTTGTCTGTCTCCTTGTTGCTGTCTGTCCTGGAGAAGCTATTTTACTCCTCGCCTCTCTGTGTGTCTCACTCTTCCTCCTCCCCCACGTGAGGAATGTGAAACCTTTCCCTTTTCTCCCTCCCTGCAGCGAGTCGGTTGTCTGTTCCAGCCGGGCCACTGTGATGCTTTATGATGACAGCAACAAGCGATGGCTCCCCGCGGGCACGGGTCCCCAGGCCTTCAGCCGCGTCCAGATCTATCACAACCCCACAGCCAACTCCTTCCGGGTCGTGGGCCGGAAGATGCAGCCTGACCAGCAGGTGCTGCTCCCTCTGCCCCTTCGCCTTCTGTGGGCTGAGCCTCCACCCTACACCCACAGCTCTCACCCACCTTTCCCCTTCCTGCCAGGTGGTCATCAACTGTGCCATTGTCCGGGGTGTCAAGTACAACCAGGCCACCCCCAACTTCCATCAGTGGCGTGATGCCCGCCAGGTCTGGGGCCTCAACTTCGGCAGCAAGGAGGATGCAGCACAGTTTGCTGCTGGCATGGCCAGTGCCCTAGAGGCCTTGGAAGGTCAGACACAGCGAGGGTGAGGGCGGGCAGGGGGAGCCCCACAACAGTGCTGTGTGACTTCAGGCTGCTGCTTTACCAGTCTGGACCTCAGGAGTCAGGGACAGGCTTGTAATCCCAGTACTTTGGGAGTCTGAGGCAGGAGGATGGCAAGTTTAAGCCCAACTTGGGTAATGTAGCCACTTACTGAGCCCCTGTCTAAAAATTTAAAATTAAAAAAGGGGCTGCTGGGCATGGTGGTACATGCCTGTAATTCTGGCACTCAGGAGGCAGGAGGGTTACAAGAGTTCCAAGGCTAGTGCAGCCTACACAGAGAGTCTAAAGCTGGCCTGAACTACCCTGTCTCAACACAAAAACAAAAATAAAGGGCAATGGATACAGTTCTAGGTTCACTCCTCAGTACCCCTCACCCCCAAAAAGAGCTGTATCTCTATTGTGGAAAATTCTGATGAGAATTTGGTGGCTTCTGTGTCCCGTGTGTAAAATGCACAATTCCTAAGGGGACAGTATACCCTCCCTGACCCTGACTACCTCTCAGATTGAGTTGTAAATAGGTTCAGCCCAGAAGGTTCCCTGTCCCTTTCTCCTGGTGACCATCATGCTGGCTTGAGACAAGTTCTCATGTATGTAGGCCAGGTTGACCTGGTACACAGTGATCCTCCTGCCTCAGCCTCCCGAGTGCTGGGATTATAGGTGTGCACCCCAACACAACAAGAGTGAATGTCTAGCAGGCCCTGTGGTGATGCAAAGGCTATGGTCCCTAGGCAGGGTCTTGGGTGACTGGTGAGCATCCAGGGTCTGGAACAGCGGCTGAAGAAAATCCCCCCATGGCACATGTGTTGCGGGAAGGGTCCTGCTCATCCAGCCATCCAGCGGCCACAGAAGCCTTGAGTAGGTCAGAGGCCTGGGGCAGGACCGGAGGAGGCCCTTGGCCTTTCTGAGTCCTTAGGCGGAGTCCACATGGCCTGCCTGCAGGGTCAGCCTGAATCCTGGCTTCTTGCTGCCAATCCCAACCTGCACAGCTTGGGGCCAGTGCCTGCCCCATGGGCCACAGCTTCTTCCTGGGCCATGGGTTAGAGCAAAAAGGAAGTGGACAGGATTCGAGTGCCTGAGGGAAAAGCACCAAGGCCCAGGTTGACTCACTGCCCTCTCTCCTCTCTCCTTCCAGGCGGAGTGCCTTCTGGGCCTCCCATACCATCTTCCTGGTCAGCCCAGAATGGACCCTCTCCAGAGGAGCTGGAGCAACAGAAAAGGTAAGACTGATCCCTGGGTGGGGACCTTACCCCGGTCAGAGTCCAGCATATTCTCAAGCCCCTGAGTCCTCCAACTTCCAGTTTCTAGAATGTTCTAGCTTCCAGTTTCTAGAATGTTCTAGCTCCCAGCTCTCAGAAAGTACTAGAAGCAAACAGCTCTCAGACCCCTCCATTTCCTGGAGTTCAAGAAATTCATTGCACCCAGACTATAGAACCTGCAGGCCCCTAAATCCTGGTCCCTCAGATTCCTAGCACCGGAATCTGGTTGAAAGCTGTTCATCTGGAGGTTCTTGACAGCTGAATGATGAGGGTGTTTGTGTCCCGGTCACTCGCTGTCCCTGCCTGCCTTGTCCCCTGCACCTCTTCACCTGGGCACCTGCGGAAGGAAGGCTGAATGGGATCAGGAGCCAGAGGCCACTGGCCGTGCTGGGACCTGATTGAGGCCACTGTCACCCCCCACAGGCAGCAGTCCTGCCCGCCAGAGCACATGGAGCGCGAACGCCGAGTCTCCAACGCAGGTAACTCCCCAGCGGCCCCTTAGATGGGGACCTCCCTGCAGGAAGGGGGGGCCGCTGGGCAGTGAAGAAGGAGGCTTCTCTCTCAGCGCCCCCTCTTCTGCATTTGTTTCAGGAGGCCCTCCTGCTCCCCC